TATATAATCTTTTCTGCCTGCTTTGCCTATTGCTGGCAGTGTGAGCTGACTTGGAGCAGTCTCTTCTGAGGTACCACGAGGAAAAGCCCAAACGAGCTACTGTACACGGCCACCCTCTTAGCACTGGTACTGAATGTGCTGGTGCTGATGGACTTTGCCTTCCACGTGCGAGTGGGTATGGGTGTGGATGTCCGTGTAAATCTTTGGGTACATTTTGGATGCCATGGCAGGGGCAAGTGCAGGCCCCTGGGACAGTAAATGCTGCTGTTGGGCAACATATTCCTCATAGTTTATGGAGGAGATGCAGTCTTTGTCAGGGACCTGGGAGACACAGATCCTGTCCCGGGGCTGTGGCCGGTGCACGGGAGCAGCAGCTGGAGGGGAGCAGGGTTTCTTCTTAGTCTGGCAAAGCCACAAGAGGATTGTCCCAAAGATGAAGACAGCTCCAGCAGGGATGCCGATGATCACGGGCCAGGGCAGGCTGCTGGCTGAGGAAGGGGGTACAGGTGCACTCGGAGGTTTGGGATCTGGACATTAAGGCAGGAGAGAGACAGAAAGAGTTAATTAAATGCAGGCAAAGTGGATTCAAAACAGATGTCACACTTGGGCTGGCTTTTGTACAGGCTGTCTGGCAACCCTGCCAGACCAAGTAACAAGGGAGAAATCAAGCCAGCACATGATGATTGGTAACTGCTTTGCTTTTCAGTGCTCCTGGAAGGACAAACAACTAATTTTCTATGGTTTTGGGGTCAGAAGGGGAGCCTTTGGGGGATTTTTTAATTTTCTTATCCAAGCTTTAATGGATGCACTAGAGCGAGCCCAAGAGTTTCCTAACTCTTGGAAGCTCACTCTGCAAAGGAGTGGGCTTTGCTGCCCAGGCTGGAGCACGCAACACGTGTCAGTAATACCTCCATGTCAGCAGCCAGGAGGCACGATCAGGTTGTGCAGAGCCACGGCACGTTGCCCACTGGCCTCTTCATGTGTAACCGTGTCTGCATGGGCTTTAGACACTCTTTGGTATCCCTGTCTAGCGACAATGGAGCTACTCAAGCAATGCTCTGCGATGGCAAGCAGCATGAGTGTGGTGTTTCGGAGGTGCTGTCTTGAGTTTCTTGTGTGGTTGGGAGGAAGGCTGAAGGATGGGCAAAATGTAGGTGAGCTGGTGTCCCTCCTTGGTGCCCAAGACACGGAGGAAGTTCACATGGCATTAAAGCGTGTGTCCAACTCACTATGCCAAATGGGCTCTACCTCCAGCAGTCTCTCTGGAGGGATTGATGGCTTTCCAAGGGCAGCAAATCCAGTTACCAGAGGAGATAAGATTCTTCAGACAGCATCTTTCACACCTACCCCCCACCTTCCCCTCTCTACTGTTGACAGCCTGTATATCCCTGGGTAGCCTCAGCTTGGGGTAGCCTGGTAGTTCTCAGCTTGATATCTTGATTTATAGACCCAAAAGGAGACCTGGGGTAGGATCCTAGGTATTAAAATCCCTATCTAGATAGCTGCCAGCTGGGATTTCCAAAGCCCTGAAAAATACCTAGGTACAGGATTCAGCTTGCAGGGAGACAGTCAGGAAACTTTTAAAATCACAGGCTATCCAAATCACCCAATATGTTATAATCAAACGTATTTCAAGCCAGACTTCTTTAAGATGCTAATGTCTTTTTCTCTCCTTGACAAATAATCCTAGTTTGAAATATTAGATATATACTATGTGTTCTCTTTGAAGTCAGAAGGACCTATACTGTTGACCTTAACAGATAAAACCTTCATTCACCAACACTGCAAATCACAGAACTATTTAGGCTGGAAGGGGAGTCTGGTGGTCATCTGGTCCAGCCTGCTGTGCAAAGCAAGACAGGATCAGAGAACTGACCCATCAGTTGACCACAAAACCAACAGTGTTCATGATGGTTGGCAGAAATCCTCTGCTGGGCTGAAACTGAAGTGTTTTGATATTCATCCATACTGTTCTTTGGAGCTGTCTATGTCAAATCTGGTAGATTTACAAGCAAAATGGTGCTTTTAACTCATGGCCTTGCAACCACATCTTTGCTTCTGAGGGCAAGCTGGGTTCTCCTTCTCCGTCGCTGCCAATAACAACAGGCCTCCAGGCTCTGGTTCTGGTATGAGGCCTCATTATAATCCCATTTAAATCAATGGAAAGTCTCCCACTGACTTTAGTGGGAGCTGGATCAGACTCTCATAGTTTAGAAACTCCCAGAGGCTTTGAGTCATATCCCACCCACGCAGCCTTTTCCTTGGGATTGACAGGTCTTCTAGTTGGAGTTTGGTCCCAAATCTAAGTGATGCAGAAGATGCCAAGAGCATTCTCCCACTTGGCAACCCACTGTCGGTATCTAAATTCAAGCTAGTGACTCTCGGAGGCTGCTCTAATGCAGAGCTTTGGCAATCAGTGAGTAGAAATAAGTCATGCTGCCTCAGTTATAGGAGCATTTTCCCCACTACCTATACAGAAAACCAGTTCTAACAGCCTAGGAGAGTTAATGACTTCTGTCTCCCAATGGTGTCTTGTCTGGAGACACCACATTAGACCTGACATCTAAAATGAAGGGAAGAAAAAGCAGTAAAATGATTTTTGTCCTAAAACAGGTGGATCTGAACCTAGATTCACACAGCAAGATGAGGCAGAAAGAAATGTTCTTTACAATAAAAACTATTTATCAGGGCAGAACTGCAAAGTCAGGAGTAAATGACAAAGGATGGTGTGCTTGAAAACAGCCTCAGTTGGATGTGGCCACCAGCTCTGAGGCCTGGGGAGAGAAGGAAGCAGCTGTGAGTTTGGTACAAGGGTCTCCAGGGAGTCACTAGGCAAGGATTTAACTAATCAATCATTCTTTTTTTTACATTTATTCTTTTTCTTTCCATGTGAGCGGGACAGTTTTTATTCTTCTCTCATTGTATGGGTCTGTATCATTGTCTCCTTTTACCAGTAAAAGCAATATAAGTAAGAGTAAGAGAAAGGAGAAATGTAAAGGAATGGGATTGCAAACTGTACTGCTGTTCAGCAGCTCTCATATCCTGTACTCTATCACTAAAGTGATGTGGTGCCGGCAACTGCAGTATCCTTTCCCAGCTCCTCTTCCATACAGGAGCAGATCATTCATTTTATTTCACCTTGCTGGAATCATTATTCCACATGAAGGGAGAGAAGGAAACAGCCTAAAGAGGATTTCAGCAGGAGCTGATTTAATCAGGGTTGATTTAGTCTCTCATTCATTCTTATCAGAACTAGGCTAGCCTAAATCAGCACAGAGAGCCATGGAGCCCAACAAACATCAGTAGCTGTATTAATAAATACCATAATGCAGACTATTGGTTCAGATGTGGGGATAAAAAAGGCAAAACTCACCTGGCAGGACTGTGAGAAAAGCACTGCGGAAGCTGTAGCCCATGGTGTTTGCTCCAAGGCAAATGTACATCCCTGCATCTTCTTCCTTGGCTCGAGTAATCATCAATTTATTCAGGTAGGAGCCATCAGGGCGAGACCAGACCTCCCCTGTGGGCAGCACAACAAACTTCTGTCCCCCAACATCGATGGTTGAGTTGTACTTGCTCTCTGTGCCATACTCCACCCTCTTCAGCCACTGGATGACGGGTTTGACATCGCTGCGGACTTTGCACTGGAAGGACGTGGTCCCACCGTAGTCCACGGTCGTGTTGACGGGGTGTGTCCCTGTCAGGATGGGCTTGGACCTCGTCCTCTCTGCACAAAAATACAGGGAGCTCCATGGAAAAAGATGTTTGCCAATGTGTGATTACAGAAACACAGGAAAAGGGTGTGGAAGGGATGATAAATAATTGTCTAGTCCAACTCCCTGCACTAAAGCAGGCTGAGATTTCTGCAAATCTCTCCCGATATAAATTTGCCCAGCCTCTGCCAAAGCCTCTAATAGGTAGATGCTCGCCAGTCTTTCCAGACAACTCTACACTGCCTGAGGCTTAGCAAGTTTTTTCTCATGCTCAACTTGATTCTTCCTGTTTTCTTTATCTGCATCAGACCTAGAGAAAAATTTGCTCTCCTTAGCCCTTGTATTTTGGAAGATTTTCTTCAGTCATCTTGTGTACACTGAACAACACTCCTAACTTCTAAGCAATCAGGGTCCTAAGAATCAACTACAGAAGGTTTTTTTCTGTCTTTGCTGTGTTTCTGCTCTCAGGTCACTCATGAAGTGTATAGATCTGGGTACCCAGTTTGTGGTGGTATTGCTTGACACAACACAAGTCAGACCAGGTCTTTCTGCTCTTTGGCAAGTATTTTAAGTCCAGTCTGGACTGCTGAATTTCCCTTGCTTGTATGCTGCACCTATGAGATGACTGAAGGGGCCATCGTTCCTTGTACTCCCACATATCCCCATGTCTCAGGGACCATATCGAAGAATAATGGGATCTTAATGATGTACCTTGACCTACAAGGTCAGAAGCTGCAGTGATCTTTCTTGAGTCTTGAACAGAGGAAGATAAATGGCCTGATACAAGCCAAAAAGGCCAAAACCCATTTCAGGATTAAATTTGGGCAATAGGACAGGGCTGAACACAAATGAAGAGGATTATTTCACTGTAAGTGTTCCTTTGATATTGACCCTGATGATGTTGTATGTATGTGTCTAAATATCTGAAGGGAGGGTGTAAAGAAGAAGAAGCCAGGCTTTTTTCAGTGGTGCCCAGTGACAGGACCAGAGGCAATGGGCACAAAATGAAACACAGGAGGATGTGTCTGAACACCAGGAAACACATTTTTACCGTGAGGGTGAGCGGGCACTGGCACAGGTTGCCCAAAAAGATGGTGGCATCTCCATCCCTAGTGATATTCAAAAGCTGTCTGGATATGCTCCTGGGCAACTGGGTCTAGGTGATGCTGCTTGAGCAGTGGGGTTGCACCAGATGACCCCCCAGAGGTCTCTCACAGTATCATCCACTCTGTGACTCTGCGATGCTTTGTCTCTTACCACCACATCTGGTAAGGTGCAATTTGCAGGTGAATATGACAGAACTTTATGTATTCTCAGGCACAACCTCAGATTTTTACCAGATTATTTACAAGTACGTATCTATTAACAGTCCACATCAGAATCACTGTGGCTACCCCAGTTCAGGGACAGTGAGGGGTGGGATAAGACATGTTCCTTCTCCTTTTGGTCTTCCCAAATGTTCCCTAAGGAGACATAAAATTGGATGGGAAAAGGCCCCTTCTTTCACAGATTAATGGCTGGCTACAGATATTGTCTGATCCTTTATCTGGGAGTCCTTCAGGAGATACCTCTCATCTCTGTTGCTGGGCCTGGAGCAGCCCATGGGGAAAAAACTCTACTGGAAGCCATCCCATGCCATGTCATCCACTCCTGGGGAGCTGAAACCACAGGCAGTATCAGTGAGGAATATCTTCACTTCATCCTTACCTCCCTGCTTATATTTTTCCTTTCTTCAGTCTAATCATCCCCACACTCACTATGGAGCAAATTTTTGAGGAGGAAGAGCTCAAAATGCTTTTGCTTTTCTAATCAATAAAAAAATGTTTCCTTTCTCACAAATTGTTTTGCCTCAGCTGATCAAGGAAACAAGATGGTAGGAAAGGAAATCAAACACAAGAGGCTCACGAGACCATTCTTTCCAGCATGATTGTAAGCCTTAGGTTGTGTCAACACCACATAAAGTCAAAGGAAAAATATATCCCTCATTCCAAGGAATGTTTGGATTTTTTTTTGTGTTAGTATCAGAGAAATCAGTCACGGTTTCTAGACAAGGAGGTGCTGCAAACCCCTATCCTAGGCACAGAGAGAAAGTATGGTATCACAGTGGGTGGTAACTGCTGGCAATCATCAACTGCTTTTGACAGCAAACACTGTTGGATTGAGCATGCAACAAAACAGCTCTCACCAGCACTGGCTTTGGGGTGAGAAGAAGGAACAATGGACCCTCTTTCAAAAACACAGGATACTTTCAATAATGAGGGCTGCTTGGGAAACAAAAATACCACAGTGGTCTCTATAGGCTTTGCCTTGGGACTACGAGTGGAATCACAGCTGGGGAGACTGAGACTCAGATAAGCAGGACTTAGGAGCGGAGGCTCAGGGCAGGGGGAAAAGGAGGAAATTGAATAAAACCTGTAATGCTCCACAGAATGATGTTAAAAATAGAAAGATGCCTGAAAATTGCTTAATGCCCTTATCTCCTTGACTCTGGTTCCAGCTTTGGTTACTGTTTTCACTCCTAGCCAGCAAAAGCTAATGAAAACAAAGGTTACATACATCTTTAAGTTGATAAAAACCAAGATAAACAGGGACACAGAAAGGGGCTTGTTCCTGGTGCTGTCTGGTTTTGATGAAGTGAAAATGCCACAGCTCCCATTAGGATGGGGCTTGATTCATTTCCCTGTCTCTGCTCCTGTTTTTAGTGTAAACATATGTTTTTACTGTCTCTACACAGCTGCATCTTTATCAATCCCAGATGTCCAGCAGGTTTGTGCCTTCAGAGCCCAACAGAGCTCCACACATGTGCTTTTAATTCCTGAGATTCTAGAGAAAGGACTTATCAGAGAACAGATCTTTACCTTTAAGAACAATCTTTCACACTGGGATAAACTTTCTCATGCTAAAATGTATGCACAGGCAAACAACATGCTTTCCATGTGGCTGGAAATCGCCCCCTGTGCCCCTGCTCCTCATTAATGAAGGCTATTCAATCTTCCCTCCACTCAGCTCATCTTCTCCACTTTCTTGAGTTGGTTGCTCTGTACATTTCCATGACAACTTATGATGATGTCATAGAAAAAGCACAATAATTTAAGAATAGAGCTCTTCTCTGGTAGGATTTGAGTATAATTAACTTCCACAATAACAGGGAAACAGGAGATTGGAGAGCAAGAATCAGAACAGCCAGATAGTAGGAAAAGAGATTCACCCCACCACAATGTAGGGTAAACCCCACAGCTCATCCTCTGAGGCTTGAACCCTTAAAGCTTTGTAGGCATCTAAAGACACAGATAGGACACTAGTGGGACTTTTCCTTTTTAGTATCTCATTTATACTTATCTGAACCTTCAGATGTCCAAATGCTTTTGAAAATCCAGCCCTTGTCCGGCTGATCACTCTAGATTTTTGCTAATTCCCTTGGGATACTTCTCTAATGAAGTGGGCCTCCTATTACAGCTATCCAGACCAAATTTTCAGTTCTAGAATCATAGACTCATGGAATGGGTTGAGTTAGAAGAGACCTTAAAGTTCACCCGGTTTCAACCCCCTTTGAACTGGTCAAGCCAATTGATTGGTTTCACCCTATTACTGCTCTGATAGAGTAACCTGGGCCATCCTAAATATTTACACCCCTCCTCTATGGTACATGAAAGGGCTTTCTCGTTTATTTCTGTGTCTCCCCTTAAAGTGAGTCTGTTGGTAGTGTAAGACTGAACCATGCAATGGTGAACTTTTACCATGCAGGTGCCCTTAGAGATGACTGCTTTCCAAGTCTCTCTCCTTATTTCAGATACATTACATTGTTGTTGCTTTGTCTTGCCTCGGTGTTAGGTTTAGTCTAGACTTTCAGTAATGTTTTTGCTGTCTCTGCTGATGTTTTAACACTTCCCCATTTCTGTGTCCAGCTATCAGCACTGCACACTTGCCATCACACTCTCTTTACTCAGCCAACCCCTTCCCTTTCCACCCTGCAGGCTGCACTTACGGATTACTTCAACTTTGTACGTTGCATTGATTTCTCCAACTCTGTTAAACACTCGGCACGTGTATTTCCCACTATCCTCTGGCTTCAGGTTCTTCAGGTTCAGTGTCCACTTCTTCTTCTTGTTCTCCCCAATCTCCTGGGGCGTGAGGGGCTTATTGTCCTTCAGCCACGTGATGTCAGGCCGTGGGTTCCCGCTGGCCACACACTTCAGGCGGATGGAGCTGCCGACAGGACGGGCGATCACTCTCCGTCTCATCTTGGCAGGCTGCGTGAACCTGGGCCGGGCTGTAAAAGGCATGAAATATTGACTGTGGTGAGCAAAGGACATGCAAAGAAGGATGCTGCTGTCAAGTGTTATGGCAAAATTCACTTGAGAGGCACCTGGCAGCTCGTTATCACTCATATCACTCATATGAGTGAGAACAGTTTCTTTAGGAAGGAGACATTCAGCCTGATGCATTCAAATATCTATTGCTGGTTCAAATTCGAATTCAGATTCAGATTCAAATTCACATTCAAATACTTATTGCTCAATCTTTTGCTGGTCACTTGAAGCTTCATTTTCTGAAGACATTTTGCCCCTTAGTTCTCACTGGCTTTCATGAGACTTAAAAAGAGTCAACATCATTTCGATATGTAGGTAAATCTTTGAAGTATGCCAGACTTTTGTACATTGATCTGAACTTAAATATATGCAATTGATTCAACGTTAATTTATAAAGCATTCACATTGAAAGGTCCCAAAAGAAGCAAACAATAAAACCCCCTTGAGTTTGTTATTAGAAGATACTCCATGCTAGTCCATCCCAAAAATTGAGAAGCTGAAGCAATAAATGCTGGTGGACAGAACCATGGGTTAAGAAAGCCACCTTGTCTTAGCAAGAAAATCACCAGTATTTTCAGTGGCAGTAACAAGAACACTAGAGAAATGAAAAGTCCCTACCTGGCAAAATCTGCACTTAACTTTAATTCAGATTATGTCAGAGTTCCAGGGGGAAAAGAGGTGGCCCTTTCACACACTAGTAGCTTTACTGACATTGCAGAGGATTTTCCTGTGAAGTCATGAGTTGGTCTTAGAAGTAAGAATTCAACAGAAAGAAAAAGATCTTTGCACAAACTTTTAAGGCAGTTGAAACAGGAGAACATGATCTGTTGCAAGGCAAAAGCTTGTCTAATAATACCCTGTACTACCGAATTCAAAAGACATCACAAATTTCTCACAGCTACTTCAGTTATGCAGTGCCAGTCCAGGGGCACAGATGTGCAGTCTCCTAACATCACTTCTAACTCCCACTTGGCGCTCTCCCCCTACATCCAAAATACTCCTGCCAAGTTCACCTGCCTTTTTATTTTGGCAAAGCTAGTTTCTCCTCTGAGTTCATTTCTACAATAGGTTTCTCCCTCTGCTTTTGAGCCCTATTTCTTGCTTACCATGATGTTACTCTTCAGCCCCAAAGGGCTTCATTTTTGCACTCCCCTGATCCTTTTCTTGGGAAATAAGAGACACAGGTAAAGAGTGGCCTGCTCTGTGGCACACTGGGTTGAATTAATGCTCATCAGCCACTGGCCTTCACCAATGGCAACTGGAAGCCACAACCTCAGTGGCATATAAAACACCAAAGACCATTGTGCTTCAGGTATCAGGGAAGTTAGCTACAGGATGACACAGTGGCACTCTGCTAGGAAGCCAGCCCTCCTGCCCAGGGCTGAGAGCCAGGAGCTCAGGGATGTGCATTATAGTGGAGCTTTGCTGGATGGAGGAGGCTGGTCTGCAGCTTCCTCTGTCCAAGCACTGGGGAATGACAGTCATTACCCTCTGAGGTCTGTGCACACATCCCACAGTCCTCAACCCCTGCAGACTTGTCCAACATCCCTCCCTCTCGGAAGAAGACACCCTTTGGCATACCCCTGTCTTCAGAATCCTTTTCTGTAGGGGGAAACCATCTGTCTCTGCAGCCTTCCCTTGCCCCCTTGGCTGTCATTTTGGGTCCCAGCCATTTCATGTTATTTCAAACTCTTGCTCAGAAATGCTTTACTCTCCATACAGAGGCTTTCATGTGTAATCTAATGAACTGGAGCAACTCTGGCACTGAAAGTCTTTGCAGTGACAGCTGAGCAGCAAGTGTGACATACTAATCCACTCCATAGGTCCTGGTGCGTAAATTGCTGGCTATTCCCTTGGGGGTCTGTTGCAAGAGGAGGCCCCCTCTCAGCAAAACCAATCACCCTCCCCAGAAGACAATTAACCCTGTCAGAGCTGCATGCTGTGAGCAGTGACATGCCCAAGTTGAAGTCTGAGCCGAGGGAGAAGTGATGATAAGGGCTGTCGTTGTGGAAATTGAGTAAAAGCCTGAAAGGTGCATGGAGATGTTAAGAACCAGCCGTGAAATGGGTCTAAACAGTTATCCTCTAATGTGGCAGTAATTTACTCCAAGACCAGGAACTGCAGGTCCAGGTAGGGGTAGATCCTCTCCAGATGGGATTCCTTGGATGGGACTAACATATTAAAGAGCAGGTTGGAGACAGGACAGCCATGCTGCCCACACAGAGTAAAGAGTAAGTGGCTCTAAGCTCTCACTTTCCCTTACCTCTTCCCTGTTTCCACAGCTATATTTCAGAAGGACTTAGTGGTGTTCATGCTCAGTAAGAGCATTGCAACACAGAGACTCTCTTGCTTCCCAAGGAAACAGGCCTATAACATTTCTGGTTTTCCTCCCACTGTGACTTCCATGAATCTGTCTGGAGTTTTGCATTCACTCCTCGTACACTGTTGCCCAGATACATATCAAACTACAGGTAAAGCTAAACTTCTTTGGCTCTTTCTGTCTTTCTTTCTTCTTCTGTTTAAAGAAGGTGAAGTGATTATGTGGTCTCAAGAGCTACTCCAAGCTGCGTGTAATATGCTGAAACCAGATCCCATTTACAGAGTCCTGAATGTTTCCTTGACAAAAGCCTGAATCGGACAAGTTTAGAAAAGCCAGTTAACCAAAAAAGGAGAAAGAGACACATACATAAGAGAGAAAAAGAGATCCAGCAAGCACAAAAGAGAAAGAGGGAGAAGCAGCAGTTTGAGAGAGGCGGAAAAAGTCTCTTTTGAGTTGCTGCTAGTAAATGTCCCCAAATCTGTACCATTTACAGAAGTTTTGCCTGTTGGAGTGCCAGCGAAGGCCATCACAAAGTGCCTCTGTGTTATTTATACTTCACGTGCTTGTTCTCCTCCACATCACTTGGCGTTTGCTTCACAAACATGAACCACACATTTGTATAGTATAAATTATGCCGCACACAAGAGCAAGGGAAAACACAAGTGGATGGGGACAAAGAGACAGTGTTGTGTATGGGTTCCTTGCTGAATGCTGTTTACCATGAAGATTTATTCAAGCTAATGAAAATTAAATGAAACAGAAGGCTGTCAGCACAAAGACCAGGGAAGGAAATCAGCAGTCTCCTCTCCCTGTGGGACACATCAAGGTGCATGGATTAGTCCCAGAGGCTCCTGTCAGACGTTGCTCATACAAAGTGAGGTGGTTTGCTGAAACATGTATTCTGCTGCAATCTGTCACTATTACCTCCACACAGTGATGGTCAATATCACTTCAAGCTTTCATGACACTCACACAAAAAATGTCATGATACAACTAAGTATTGAAATACTTTCAAGTCTTTTGGATAAGACCTGAGCCAGTGGTGGGAAGATGTGAATGGGGGTATCTACCTTTATTGATACCACTGCATGATGGCAGCAGGAAACCTAAGTGGAGCTTTTTCTTATCATGCTTCTCCTTTTCCACTTTTCTAGGGCCCAGGACTCTGCAAACACAAACTACTCTTTCACCCATTATGCTCCATAGACCCGCAGACACACACTGACCCTCCCTGCACCCCAGCTCACACCAGCGATTTGCTGGTGAACACTGCTGGATAGAAAGGGCTCGTGTATGTGTGGCCTGCCCCAGCAATTCCCTGCCTGGGGAGAGGGGACAGGAGGGAGGAAAAAGGAGGGAGGAAAAATGCAGAGGTACAGGAGCACTCTGCAGCACAAAGAAGGACTGGGCCAGGGCAGCACAGAGTAAGATACAATCTGATATGAGATTGTTAATGCCTAATAATTTTAGCAGTGCTTACATCTTTTGTCATAATATTATTGCGGTATTGATCCATCATTCACCAGCTGTACCATCAGCCATGGCATACAACATCTGCTTCTATCTGCACCTGGGTGATGCAGAGTGGGGAGATGGCACCCTTTCATGCAAGCTGCTG